GGGGGGGTATTGGTAGTCTACAGGGTTTTGTAAATTGTAAGGAAGGCCACTGTGTACTGTAGACAGATTGACAGAGTGATACACATGGAAGACCGGTAGGTTCAACCAAACAGGAGACAACATAGTTAAAAGAATTGATTAGGTTATTGCTTAGGAGCTTTGGAGACGTTTTACTTACCAACCAACTGGACAGGTGATATAGTTTCAGTAGGGCCAAATAAGTAAATATTTCAAATATATTATATGCATGTGTATAACCAATTTTGGGTCTATACCAGTGTATGTAAAATTTAAGATTTGGACTCTTAACCCTGTATGTATATCCCTGTTTTGCTTTAAACCATTAATGTGATTCAAGATTTCTTATCTTCTTGTTGTCCTAAAAGTCAGATTTAAGCTTCCATTAACTTGATTTGTGATTTAATTAGTAATTTAATAATATAGTTAAGACATAATTACACGATACTTAATTATAAATGTATATTACAATTTATGCATATACTTTTTTATCATTGCTGCCCAGGCATTGGCTCACTTTACCTGGTGGTTATACTGTTTCCTATCTGTACTCATTGAAGATATGGTGCAATGGGGGAAAGTACATGGCTTCAGTATTTCAAAATGAACGCACTAAGGGGCCATTTGATAATTCTGGAATCACTGAACTTAATGGCTTAATGCTTTGTCCTTAGTGCATGTCATTAAATAGGTGGTGGGCTTCTTAACAGCTGAATGGCACACTCATTGAAGATATGGTGGAGGAAAGAACACAGCTTCAGTATTTCAAAATGAATGCACTAAGGGACCATTTGATAATGTCTCAAATCGCTGAACTTAATGGCTTAACTCTTCGTCCTTTAGTGCATGTTGTTAAGTAGGTTGTGAGCTTCTTAACAACTGAGTGGCATGTCGGGCTGATTATACTATAACCCTAAATATTTGATCATATAACCAAAATATCCATTCAAAGGGAAACAATAAGTCATTTAGTTAAGCTACTTTAGCCATAATCAAATGCCACTGATAGCTTTTGCATTGTTTCATGGTTGTAAAGAAAATGAACAGCCAACTATTAAGTGGAATCAAAGATACATTGATTCTCATCATGTCTTCTTTGTTGGAAATAGTTTATGTGCACATTATGCATGTTCTGTTTAGAAAGTGCTTTATCCTAAATTCCTAATCTGGCTCAAATTTATTTGGGGTTGGTATTAGCTAGATCTTATAGATATGCTATGTAGAACGTACCTAGACTTGAAGTTGTGCTGAGATAGTGAGAGTACTTAACCTTAAGCAAGAAAGAAACCAGGTTGTGATGGAGTTAGATTTGGTAGTGGAAGAAACCCATCGATGTCTGGGCCTGTGTGTCTAGGACAAGCCTTTTGTGATGTAAGGGCCAAATGTAGGCCAATTGATAGCTCCACCAAGGTTAGTGACACTGTATCATGACCTCATTGCCCATGGTTGGGGCTTTTGTTTGGCTCTTGCCGATTCATGGGAGGTGTGTCGCTTATGTGCCAAGGTGGATTGTGCCAATGGTATCTGTACAAGGCAACTGTTGGGCCTTGAACACACCCGAGTGCTAGGACACGGGATAGCTCGACCAACTTAGACATGGGGCTGGTGGGGTGAAGGGATATGGCTATGGCCAACCCACATGCAAAACCTCCCTCTCATGTATGGTACAAAGTGCCAGTCCATGCACTGTCCCCATGTGTGTGTGTGTGTGCGCGCATGAGCCCATGAGGAACCCTAGTAGCCTAATAGCCATTAACTAGGGCTGTCCCACGATGGATATGAGGCCTTGGAAGTGCTAAGGGTAGGCACCCGAGGAGGTCGACCACCCCTCAAAGAGGAAGTTAAGATCCACTAGAAGATAACATCATTTTCCCCAAAAGTCATAATGGAGAGATTTACAATAATGCCACTCAACACAGCTCACCAAGCATATGTAGACTAAGCTTGCTTTTCGACCGTGATAAGGTGGATTGACAACTATGCTACATGTAGTGTTTTAAAAGTGCAAGGTCTAAGAAAAGCACAAGGTGATGTCTGTGCCTTTTCAAAGAAAGGAAAAATTTTTGAAAAAAAAACAGTAACACATAAAAATTGCATTGCTTGAATTTTAAAAGAAATTAAATGTTTTTGAAAGTCTATTGTCTCAAATTAAAGTATGTAGCTATAATATATAAAACATATTTAAATTGAAAATGTGGAAGTGAAAAGCAAACATATATGGGTTGTGCTAAAGTGCTTCAAACACTCAACAATTCAAGCATGTGAAACTTTCAATTTGTTTATTTATCTCTTAATTGCATCACTTCAAATAGCAAGTGTGGTGTTAAACATCTTGCATTCCTAATCCTAGGAGATTTTCCTTCATAAAGGACCCTTGAAGCAAGCTCAAACAAATCCATGTGGGGGTTTGGGCAGTGCTCCCAACCTTTTTCTTTTCCTGCTTTCAAGCAATTTTTGGGTTTTTGAGAAGATTTTTTGGGGTTTTTTTGTGATTCTGATGTATGTTCCTGGCTTTACATGTTGAACATATGATATACTTGTAATCTATGTTTACGGTATAGAATTAATACAATCATTACTTTACCTTCTTGTGAAAAAAAAAATTGGCCTGTACATCTGAAGGGGCTGGTTTTGTGATTTTAGTCATAGTCCATTTTATTTTAGGGATTAGGGGTCAGATATTAGTTGTTGCTTCTTTAGTAGAAATTTTGTTATTGAGATCCTATTTGCAAGAACTAAGTCTTTAGGTATTTAAAGATCTTTGTTTTAATTTATTTTAAAAATTAGCAGACCATTACTATTGTACAGACAGTAATGAAAAGGTAACTTAGAGGCTAATAAACCATTACAAAGATGTAAACCCCATAGGAATTTAAAAAAGTCATTTAAAAAAGGCACACGCTTGGATTGAGGTGCAAGGTGCACCAGGTGCGTGCTTTTTGAAATAGGATGTTCTTGGGTTCAGCCTAGGAAGATGCCTTAAAATGTGTGTTGCCTATGTGCCTTTTAAAGAATTGGCTACATGGAAACTTCAAAGTGGGTTCCTTATCTGTATTAGACATTATTTGATATCAACACTGACATGACACTCGAGGAGTCTCTTCTCTTTTTCAGAGCTGTAATATGAAGCTAAAAGGCCTCATAACTGATAAAGGAAAAAGATTGAAGAGCCTCAAACTCAAAGGGTAAAACCTGGAAGTAAATTGTTGATTTATAGTATTTGACAATTTAGTATGATCAGTTATAAACGATAAAAAATTATTTTATTTGTTTGTTATTATTTGCATTGATTCGTGCTTCTAAATTCAATTTGTTTTCCTTTTTAACAATCATCTCGCCATTTATATAACACAAAAATATATGATCAACAAATACAACTTCAAAATTAAACTGTGCCAGCTGAGTTGACACCTGATACCCCTGTTACTTTCTGACAATTCTGATGCTTGTACTGGCATCCATGTAACATTGCTTGGTTTGCTAGGTTAAAAACATAATTGGTAAATACTTCGGCTGGAGATAGTCTGAGTTATATTTTTACTGAAGTGTCAGAGATTCAAGTCTTGAAAGTTATTCTGAGTTATCTATTCATGATATCTTATATTGAAGTCATTTCCAGTTCATTTCATTAATATTGTGTAATATTTCTGTTCTTCTAGTTTAATTTATTGTTGATATATGTTATCAAAATCTGATTTGAATCAGGCAGATAAGATTCAAATTCAAATATTAATAAAACCAAATTCAGATCTGGGTATATTTATCCAAGATTAACTGATAAATACATACTGAACTCAGCTCAATTTAGCATTAATGCCTATTTTATCAAATTATATGTCCTTGAAGTAATTATTTACCACTTCAGACCATGTTTTCTTTGGTCTTCTTTTTTCTTATAGATCCTAGTCCTAATAAATACATCGACATGTAGAACATAAGTTTAGTACAGGAAAAATTTGTCATTGTAGTTTTTTCAAAAAATTTTAGTATATATATATATATATATTAAATAAATACAAAGGTGCCAGCTCTCTAGCTGGTTATAGCTGAGACCTGGGATTGAGTCCCGCCTTCACCAGGGTTGGGGGTTTGGGGAGCACTGCCCCCTATTATATAGACTATTTGCCTATCAATGGTAAAAAATAAAAATACAGTCAAATGTATGTGGCATGGTAAGGTTAAAGATGATGACATGTTTAATACATTTCATTTGGAAATACAGAGTGAAAATTTGGCTTATCTCATGCGAAACTCCTTGCATAATTTATTAAAAAAATGCACACATATAAAAATTGTATTTATATGTTATATAACTATACTAGAAAATAAAATATGCCATACTTTTTAAAAACCAATATTTTTAATGCACTATATGGTTTCTATTCGAAACTTTGTCCATTTTCCATACTTTGAAAAACATGCCATTTCATACATTTTTGCCCAGAAATACAAAACACATGTATTGCATATGCAGTTACTAATCGTTGTCAAGAATTGCCACCCCCACTAACATAGGATCTATTATAGATGAGAAAATCATGTAGAAGTTGAATGATTTTACCAGATAGTGAGAAATAATCAGAAAACATCAAATCAACGGAGTGATGACATCAGGAATAAAAACAAGAACTTTATGAGCTCAATGTGCAACCTTGTTTTAGGACTGAAAGACAGTCTTATGTTGGCAAAATATTGGACTCAGGGCCCAAGTATGTTATCATCTCCCTGTTGATTGCAATTATGATAATGGTTACTAGCATAATAAAAAAGGTCCTTGCCCAGTATTGGTCTCGGCTCTCTGGGATCTTGTGAGGGGTGGACTGGATGTGGACCTAACCTTTGGCATTTTTTTTTTGCACAAAGTGGCCATCCTCAAACTTCAACCTGCATTCTCATGCTTGTCAGCCTGAGTTTTTACTATTACACCAAACCAAGCAATTGGTGGTATTGAAATATTTATCATGGGAAATATTGAAGAAAACCCCGATAGTTTTGTATTGAGCTTTAAAGTACTAAAAGAGCAACTGAATAGACTATCTAATTAATTTATGAGATCTTGATAGAAATCCCCAGTAATTTTGTGTTCAGCTTTAAAGAAGTAAACGAGCAACAGACTTCAAGTTTAAATTTTATGATATTCTAATGGAAAAAAATTTATATCTGGCTAAAAATCATGCAAACCCTAGTTTTGTTAAAACACTTCCCTCTAATTCCTTATTATTTTTCCATAGTTGGTTAAGTGCTTTTTATTTTCTCAATCACAAGCAATATCTTCTTTCTCAGGGGAAGAAAGATCAGTTGCCACTTGCCAGTGATCTTAGAAATGTTTCACCTGTCTTTAGGAGGAAAGCTATTGAGAGAGAGAGAGAGAGATTCAGACATGGCCATAGTTATGGGCGGGTTCGAGCCGAGCCGAGCCAAATATCTGACTATTTGAGACATGACCTCAAATTTGGCTCAATTTCAAAGCTCGTTTATTCTAGCTTGGCTTGGCTTGAGCTCGACAATGAGCGAAGCTTCATATAAAAAATTATACATGTAAAAAATTAAAATTATACATATAAAAATTATTTGTTACAATTTATATAAAAATTAAAAATATTATATATAATATAGCTTGATTAGGCTCACGAGCCTCATGAGTCAAGCTTCATTAGGCTCGAGCTCAGCTTGATTAGCAAATGAGCCTACGTATTGGGTTTGAACTCAGCTCAAAGCTCGGTTTAAACTAAGCTGAATCGAGCTTTTTACAGGCTGAGCTCAAATTGCTGGTGAAAAGCTCGGTTCATGTCCAGCCTTAGCCATAGTGTCATCGTATGCCATGCCGTTAGAAACCTCACTGGGAATATCATGCAAACAAAGAACTTAAGTTTCAAAAATTTCATATATTCTATTCTGCTTGACTTTTTTTGAATCAGCTGAGCACTCTATTTTGCTTGGCTTTCCTACTATTATTTATAATCAGTGGTTGTTTGCAAAAATATTTATTAGTTGATTTTTTATTAGACTTTATTAGTTGATTTATCATCAATACATGAGTCTTGCAAAAGAAAAGGTTTAGTCATATGCTTGTATATTAATTTACATGTCAGGAGCTTCAAGAATTCGAGAGTTACCTCCAGAGCAGTTCTGCAGACAGGGATTTGTCCTAGGGAAAGCATCAGAAGCAGGCTTTGGCAATGAAATGTACAAGATTTTAACTGCTGCAGCCTTGAGCATTATGTTAAATCGGTCCCTGATCATCGGGCAAACCAGGCATATTGGTTCTCTCTCAAGCCTTTATGTTCTATAAGTAGTACTTGTTTCAGATATAAATGATAAAAAATTAGTTTTGCACTGTAAAAGATCTTTACTGGCACTTATTTCAGATATAAATTATAGGAGGATAACTTGTCTTGGTTTTAGGCATGTGCTTTTCAACGAGTCAAGAACATGTTTCACACTAAGAGTATTTGTATGCAATTGGCACTTATTTACATCATTTGCTTCCATAATATTTGACTTAGTAGAGGAACTCCTTTAAAATGTTGTGTTATATCTATAAACTTCTTTTATATTACCCATATTTTAGGTAATACTTGTCCATCACATGCATGCAAACACACACATAGTCACATACATACACATATATGTATATAAGTTAGGTCAGAACTTATACCATATAGATTATGTTGTTTGTAAGATTAGTTCCTTGTGCTAAATACTTTGCTCTTTATTTTTTTTTTCAGGGACCAATTTCCTTTTGGTGATTATATTTCTTATACCAACTTTGCATTTACTTTGAAAGAGGTGAAGCATCTGTGGAGAAGGAATGATTGTGGGGGAAAGTATGGAAGGCATTTGATAGTGAGAACTGATAATTTTGAGAAGCCATCAGAAACAAATGTCCTTTGTAGCAATTGGATAGAATGGAAACAACCCATCATATGGTACAGTGAGAACATTGGGGAGAATTAACTGCACCTCATTGTTAGGTATTTGAACTTACTGCTGAATTTTCTATGGCAGGTTCCAAGGTACAACAGATGCAGTGGCAATTCAATTTTTCTTGAAGAACATACACCCTAAGATGAGGAATGCAGCTTCTGATTTATTTGGACAGAGTGGAACTTCTCAGTCTAGGTCAAATGTTTTTGGGGAGCTGATGAGAGTTATCATATCTCCCTCAGAAGATGTTGAAGAAGCTGTGGACTGGGTTCTAAATGGTGGTGTGGACCCTGATGTGACATTGCACATGCGCATGCTTATGAACAGGTACTGCAAGAGAAAGAGATTTTATTACTCTGACCTTTTTTGTGATTGCTGCCGGATCAGAGATTTTATTAATTAGGAGAAGAAAAGAAAGAGTGCAAAAGAAAGTGATAGGCCCCCAATTATCCTCACATATGCCAGGAGAGGGAAAGGGCAGCGTAAGCCAGGTCAGCAGTCGGTTAAGGAGGGAAATGTTTAGATATTGGTGTGCTTATTGTAGCTATGCCAGCTGGGCATTTCTAGAGGGAGTTAGTTATGATATCAGGAGGGAATATTTCTAGAGGGAGTTAGTTATGATGTCAGGAGGGAATATTTCCAGAGGGAGTTAGTTAGGATGTCAGGAGGGAATAATAAATGGGAGTTTCTGGATAGGGGGAGACAGGGAGAAACATTTTGAGTGTTTGGGAGAGCCGGCGGTCTCTCGAAGAACCGACCAACTGTTATTACTCTCCATTGAATGAATACAAGTTCCTTTTCATTTGAGCTGTGTATTTTTGGCTGTGTGCCTGTGAATTGTGTGTGAGATTTCCGGGACCTATCAGAAAGAAAAATTAGAGTGTATGTCTCCTCATAGAAGAAACTGAGAGCTAGACCTCACATACTACTTTTCCCTCGCTTATGTACCCAATCCTAATATAATACATCTCCTATCTATTGGTCTCTTCTCTAGCATGTATTGTAAGGTGCTTTGTAATATTTGGGCCCAATTGGATGAACTGTTCTTCTAGCCAAGTATCCTTCTTCCTGGATCTGATATGACTACCATGGCCTCTGGTACCATACAATATCCATCCTATTGATTACCTTTGAAACCCTTTCCACTTCAAGAATGCTGTACCCAAGAAATGGTCCATCTGAAGATCCTGCAACAACAAAAGGAGTTAGTTTCCATTATCAATCAGGTCCAGATACACTGTCAATGTATCTTCTTGATGATTCCTAGAAACTATGGTAATTCAACATTTGCTTGGATTCTGAAGACCACATCCATTAAGATTAACTGATGGAATTAGGAGGTTGAGGCAGGCTTGTGGAATAGGTATTCTTCTTGAAGATGATGGCTTATAACTGAACCTCTGATTGTGTCATCCATCAAACTTATCTTTCATCTTGACCCAATATACAACTAACCCTAATTATTATCATTTTAATCAATGCCTTGGGAGCTATCTTTGTTGGAGAAGATTCTACAGTTCTTTCCTCTTGTATATGTGTCATAGAATAGCTATTTTTGTGGAATGGCACACAATCTTCCCTCTTTTCTTTGGTGGTAAGAAGGCTGGATGACTAGTGTCCTGTGAAGGTACCCATCTAAAAGCAAACAAGGAAAAGAAATGGTCTCAAGTGCCAGTTAGCCAAAAAAAAAAAAAAAAACAAAGAAAGAAAGAAGTAAATCAGAAGTGAAAGGTATCATCGGAGCCTTATATTTGAAGGACAATAAGGTATCAAGTGTACCACCTCAGTAAAAAAAAAAGCTCTAATCTTAGGTAGTTAGGTGGATTAGTTGCTTTTGCTGGGAAAACCAACACGCAATGAGAGTGAAGGAATATAGACCCAGAGAAATAATCACATCAAAACTACTCAGACTCAAAGGTTTAAAATTTACAAACGGGCTTGTTAGATTCAAAAAACACCAAGTGGTTCCAAGTTGTCCTTAGACTTGAATTCCCTCAAACCAACAGGAGAATTGGAAACCAAAAAAGATACAAGTTTGTTTTAGTACAATGCGAAGGGATAAAGCCTCAGGACTTGCAGCACTAAAGTAATTATTTCCCCACCAGAAGTCCTCCCAAAATCTTTGTCACCTTTCCAAGTATCATATCTGATATAGGCTTCTTTCTACTCTTGATTCCAAGACTGTTCCGAGCCATTGGATTTAAGACCATGGATGTTCTTGATTACAGAATGACAGTTCATTTGAATCACCAAGTAATCTCCAAAAGCACTTGAAAAATAGAGAAGTAATTGAAAGCCTAGCCTTCCAACAACAGATATCCCTTCTCTAAGCTTCAAGTAATTTGAATAAGGTTAAACATGTATTAATATGTCTTGCAATGAGCGTATACTTAGGTTACTTGTAGTAATTATCATTAACACACTGTTTTTGTTTGTCTAATACAAGACTAGAAGCACCGACTTTAAACAACAAGACATGTCTCTGGGTTTTGGTTCCAGGTCTGTAAGAGCAGTACGGGCAGCATTGAATTGCATAAGAAAATCCCTGATCAACTATCAGATTCAGACGAGGAGGCCTAGAATTGTTTTGGTTTCAGATACACCTTCTCTTATTAAAGATATTACACCTAACCTGGAGGAATTTGCAGAGGTAAATGCCTAAGAAATAATTGGTGTATTTTGATTGCTACTTGCATGCATCTGCCTCTGAAAGCATACTCTGCTTCCTATGAGGTTTGACTTTAAGATTAGTTCTTTGGTAATTTGGTTGCTTGCACCCTTCCTCAGGTTCTTCATTTTAATTATGAGTCATTCAGAGGGAGTATTTCTAGTGCAAGAGGAAATGAAATTCAGCAATTAGATTTTAGAGTAAAGGATTGGGGCCCTGCACCAAGGTGGGTTGCATTTGTTGATTTCTTTCTTGCATCGCGAGCAAAGCATGCTGTTGTTTCAGGGGCCCATAGGCGTGTTGGGACAACCTATGCACAGCTAATTGCAGCATTGGCAGCAGCACATCAACTTGGTAAATGGCCTTGTTTTTATTAGATCTATCATCCTAAGATGATGTCTACCAAAAAAAATCCTAAGATATCATTTTAATTCTCATTCTTCCCCTTTCCCAGGTGACAATTCTTCTGCAGATTCAAGTTTTTCCTTCTTAAGTAGCTTCCAAAGCAATTTGTTGTCAGAAGGCTTGCACAACCAGGTAGGGTGGGGACATGTCTGGAACAGATTTGCAGGTCCATTGAGTTGTCATAGTCAGTCCAGCCAATGTGCTCTCACGCCACTTCTACCGCCTGCCTGGTGGGATGGGATTTGGCAGTCGCCTATTCCACGGGATGTTCACAAGATGGAGGCATATGGGATCCAACTAACAGGTTTTGGCCGAGTCAATGAAAGCCATCTCCTTTCTTTCTGTAAATTGAGAAAAACAAAAGTGAAAACAATTCCAGTCTTTCAGTAGCATAACTAATGAGAAGTGTACATGATTCATTGGTTCATTTTGTTGTAAAGTTACTCTTAAATATCAATTTTTTGTTTTTTTTTGTTTTTTTATTTATAAGTTAAACCATTCTCTTTCTGTGTTTGTAAGCGTATGCGGTTACCTTCGTCTTCAAGTTCACCTCGTGAAGGATGATGGGAGCATTTGGTATGGTATGAAAATCTTCCTAAGAGCTTTAAATTATATTATAAGGCCATAGTGGAAAGCCAGTAAACAACTACTAAGGCTGCATTTGGCATTCATTATTTTAACGATTTATCTCCTTTCTGCAGTTAAAAATTCAATGTTGATAGGAGCATTTTAACTGTAAAAAGGAGATAAGTCCTTAAAATAAGGAATGCCAAATGCAGCTCGTCAGGTTGCCGGATGGTTTGCTCATTTCATAACATCACTTTCAGTTATGGCATTCCAGGAGGATATGGGATCCAAAAACCAGATCAGACCGGATGGTTGGATCATTTGACTTGGAGACTGGTATTGGCTCTGGGTCCATTTTTGGGCCCAAAAACCATTTGACCCAGGAACTGGTGGTTAAAGCAGTTCCATTTCTAGGTTGTTTTTTAAAACTATGATTGAATGCATAGTTCCTATGGGCGCCCCACAGCATATCCCAAATCGTGTTTTGGGAACATCTCCCAATGACAAGAGAGATGTTTTCAATGCACGCTGAGATGTACATACAGGGCACAAACGTGGGTAGCAATGTCATCAAAACAAGAGATGTTTTCAATGACAAGAGAGATGTTTTCAATGCACGCTGACACTCGTTTTTCTCTTTTAGTAGGGTGGTGTTTGATGGTTCTTAAATCTGATGGCTGATTTTTTAAAGCTTTTTTCAGGTTTTAATTGTTTTTTCAGCATCTGATAACTAGCTATTTTACTATTTTGCCAATGGAAATAGACTATTGGGGTTCTTCCTCTGCTGGTGGCCACTCATTCATCTACTCTCTCTCTCTCTCTCTCTCTTCCTTGGCCTTATTCTTCTCCTTAGTTTTCCTCTCTCCGTCCCTATTTCTCTTCCTCGACCCCTTCAGTTGACTAAGTATAGCAGTCATCGTTTCTTTTCAATCACCAAACATCACATAGCATCATTAGTGTTGATGCACAAAATGCTTGTTGAAGAAGACACAACAATAACGATAATGGCGGAAGACAGTGATCTCTTTTATCTTTAGAGAGTAGAGAATTTGAATTGGGTTTAAAGGGGCAACACAAGTCATTTTGAAAAGTTGTAGGAGTATTTAGGATTTCAAACACAAGTCATTTTGACAGTGTTCGGGTTTGCATTTTCACTCCCGAGTCTCGATCTTGGGTGAGTCTTGGACAGATGTTCATTCCATAGTTCCCAAATACCAATGCAGCAGGTCTCTAACTCAAATTCAACTTCAGACTTCAGAGTTCAGACAACGGAATAGTAACATTGAATCCGGATTCCAGATGCTGTTTCTTCCTGAGTCAGGTATCCTAATTGTTAGAAGGTAATCAATTTAAACCGAGTTATAACAGTAAGCCGGTGCTTCATCTTTTACGTGGCGTATTTCAATTGGACCGTAGTAGATGGTCAACGACTTCGCTTTTTTTGGGTAAGAAGGTCAACGACTTCACATTACTGTAGTAAGTTGAAATGTTCGAATTTCGATGCCCAAGTTGAATGTTCAGTTTCTTTTGATAGGCATCTGGACCTACGTATTGACAAAATTAAGAATTTATGTTTTGAATTCTATTCTGTAAATATTCGGTTTAAACTCAGGAAATTAACTTTTGTTGCTCCTCTAAAAGGCTAAATCTGATATATATTGTTATTGTTATTGAGAGAACAGTCCCTTTTGGCTCTCCCCGTCTCCTTGTATTCATCTTTAGTTTTCAATAGAATCTTTTATCCGTTTAACCTATCCAGATTATTTGACGTGAACAAGCAAAACATCTATTGCATTATGTGCTATAAAAGTACTGTATTGTTCATATAGCTTTTAGAACAAATTAGTTTGGCCTTACACGTGGCCCAACAACTTATCAATCATGAAATTCTTGAACATTTTCCTCCCTACCCCATCAACCTCATTTCCTCCATTTTCTCCTTATTCAAAATGAAAACGGTAGATTGAGGAGTTGAGAATCCATAGCCATGTGTCTGATGCCCACGGGCCAATACATCTATTGGCCCCACATGTCTCACATGCAGTCTAAGGTGGCGTTTGATAAATGTGAGATCTGAAAAATTAAAAAGATATGAAAAGTGTCTAAAAAAGGAGCTATGATGCTTTTCTATTTTTTAGATACCCTGAATAGATAAGGTTGTTTGTGTTGGATCAACCCTTTATCATCTGAAGTTCCTAGATTTTACTATTTTACCCCTAAAACAAACTATTTGACAATTTTGAGTTCAATTTAAACTATTTTATATCAAATAATTTATAAAATTCAATATAATATTGAAATAATACAAATAAAAATAAAAAAAATAATAATTTAAAAATAAAAATAACATAATTAAAATAAAAAATAATTAATGACTAAAAAATACTTAAATAATTAATAATTAATACAAATTAAAATAATTATTAACTAATAATTAGTAATTAATAAAAAATAATTAATAATTAAGCTGGTTAAAACCTAAAGCCAAAACATTTTTGAGCCCCAGAACACAAAGCCTAAAATTTGGACATTGAAGGCACAAAACCTAAAGCTTATCCAAATTCAACCTAATTTAAGATGGTTTCTGCAATTGATAACAACGTTTTAGCTTTCAGCAGTACAATAAAGATCCAATTAGGAAGAAAAAATTATAATGAACTAGTAATCTGAAAAGCAAAAAAGAAAAGAACTGTGTGATCTACCTATCGGGTGGGGGCGGGTGTTATGGGTACTTGTGTAACCCCATTAAGACTTAACGATGTAATGAGTTGGTCCATAACCACACTATTGGATGGGGACATGGGAAAAAGAAGAGGAGTCAAGAACTCGAGATTCAATAAACAAAGTATGATGTTTTCAGATTTAATAAACAATTAAGAGATTTAATAGTTAAACCTAAACAAACCAAACAAATCAAACAATTGTAAATAGGAAAGAAGAAGAAGAAGAAGAAGAAAGGAAAGAAGGAAGGTACCTTTAAAGAAGAAGATGCCTTTGCTAGGTGCCTGGCGCAATTATAACCCCTGAAAAAATGAAGATTTTACGAGGAGAAATCCAACGTTTGACAGAGAAGAAGAAGCAAACATGAGAGAAAAAGAAGGTCTTGCGGCCAAACCTTTTGCAACGAGCGGAGAGTTCTTTCATGTTTGAAACAAAATGGTCTAGGTTTTTCGGGTTGGGGGTAATCAGGGGCATCTACGTGTCATTTCAAAAATGTTGGGGGTACTTTTAACTTTTTACTAGCTCTAAATGCATCTGAACGTGTTAAGAGCCAGACCGCACGCTTTAAGTTTCAGATCAGAAAATGAGATTCAAATCATTTTCAGACGCATAACCAAATGGGTCTCATGTCTGAAAAACAATCAGACACTAGACATCTGAAAAGTGTTATCAAGTGCACCCTAAGATTCGGAGTGACTGAAAACCGTGGGTTGGTCAACAATTTCCGAACTACTTACCAGTTTGTGATCTACTCATTCTTCTTTTCTTTTTACTTTCTTTCCTTTTTTTTAGAACTTTATTTTGTGCCAATCATCTATGATTTTCGAACCACCATTGACATAGATGGTTGGACCTTTCGGCCTAAAAAACATCCAGGCAACTGGTTCGATTTCCATCCCAAATTGGGATTTTGTGAAAAAAAAAAAAAAATTGGTCAGTGACCCGCTGATTTGGATTATCAAACAAGAAAACATTGCTTGCTTGCAACACTTGAAGCTGTATATACAATCTTCAGTCAGACCAATTGGGGAATCGGGAGAGATGATGTGGTCGATTCGATTCAGACGGTGCACAAATCAATTAAAGTATTTTTTTTTTAATTATAACACGTGCTTATTTTCGTCCAATCAAAAACGAGTACACGTCTCCCCCCACAACACCCCATACCACATCCCTGCTGTATATTAAGAATATTTCTCGATAATGATATCATTAGTTCCGGTATTATATATCGGGAGATGTTTTCAATACATGGTGTGGGGCGGCTCTCAGTGAAGCGGAGATGTGAACTCATCAAAAGATAAGCCAGAAAAGGTCTTAATAGGGGCACGTTGTTGGAAGATGTGGAGAAGGGTGGGTGCCCCAACTAGTGGCAGTGGCAGTGTGGCACCTAACCTACAGGAATTCAAGATTTCCCAAGTCGGTACCTCCCTTCTTTGAATGGTCTACGTCTACCAAATCCCACCCTCACGAGTCATGACTAAACAAGCAAAGCCGAGGGGCCAAAGACGTAGTACTGGACAAGTACCAACTACCAAGGCCCAAGGCTTTCTCCCTCTCACAAGTCCCAAACATGCTACCCATTTTCCCTTGACCCCTACTGCCGACGCATTTGACCGAAGTCGATATTTCCAATTCATGGTGCAAAAGGCTGTACTAACGGTGTTAGCACAATCTTTGTGAGCATTGAAGCCGATCTCCATTTCACCCTACACGTCCCCTTTCCTTCCTGGTCTGTACCCTGTTGATAAAACCAATATCTCAATATTTACGTTTACACTTTTGGTCTTGCAAAATCCCGTTCTCTATTGGAGGAGTCTTCTTGAGAAATTGATCTAACAACAGTTTCTAATCAACCGTTACAAACATTCCTTCTGTTGATTTGGCTAGAAAGCTTTGTGTTAAAATTCTACGGCAAAACCAAAATGAAAGAGACCCATGGTTCTTAATCTAAGGCTACGTTTGGGGGACATTTTAAAAAGTGCTTTTGCGGACCCGGCAATTAAAGGGCTTTTTTGTATCTTGGCACCAGCCGTTGAGCCCTAGTACTGTGTGCTACACCGAGAGTTGGGCTTTTTAATGGTGTTGAGATCTTTTGCCAATAAAACATGTGAGTTCGGCTTCAGTCCAGGCACGTTATATATGCGCAGCACTACGATGCGCCATGCGTCTTTTGATTCGTGCGTTGGCTTAATACGTGCGAAATGAATTAACGGAGTCTTTCCTTCATGCCGTTAGTTTCTCTGCCTTCTCATCCATTCCATCCCACTTCCCGCTCCAGATTCATCGGACTCTGCAACCGGCGGCAACCAACAGTTATCACCGGCGACTATTAACACCGGCAACCGGAGAAAAACCTCAAATATTTTGGACTCTACCCTGATAGAAGCTAGACTGTTATCACCGATGACTGATAGAAGCTAGACTGTTATCACTGATGACTGATAGAAGCCGGATTCCTCCTAACGGTAATCAGAGTTCGGATTCGCCGACCCTTGCTGAACAAGCAAGAATGGAGGATTCTATGGAGAAAGAAATGCAGATTGTAGAGTAGAAAACCTTGTATTTTGTATACTTTACATATTTCTGTTTGTACCCTTTCCGCCAAAACCCCTTTCCTTGGCTTCATGGTGGATCTTGTGAAGCTCCCTTATATTCCTTTCATCATTGTCCGACAATCACAGCATTCGCGCTACCTGAGCCTGAAATTAACAATCACACGCTAAGTTAATAAACTGGAGGAAGAGAAAGAAGGGCAATACTACAAGTAGTAGGTAGATAGTTGAGTACCAACAGAACTTCTTGATCGTCGGGAGAGAGGGAAGTGGTGCCGAGAACGCGGACATGGAGAGAAGGGGAATTGGGGGGATGGGAGATGCAGACGAGAATGGAAGTGGTTTCATCAGAGAGTCTCAATGGGCGCTGGAAGATAGGTCTTAGTCATGGGTCGCACTGGTTCAGCGCCACCGTGAACAGTCCATGGTTGCAGACGACATTCTCCAGATTGAAGGTTGAAACCGACTCCCCAAGCGGCAGAGTGATAAAACACGAGACAACTGACGATGACACCTCCACTTCTTGTTTCCGGTGGCCATCTCTTATCTCATGGACTCTTTGTCCATAGAATCCTCCATTCTTGCTTGTTCATCAAGGGTAGGCGAATCTGAATGATTACTGTTGACAGGAGTCCGGCTTCTATCAGTCGCCGGTGATAGCAGTCCGACTTCTGTCGGGGTAGAGTCCAAAATACCTGATGGGGTCGCCGATGATGGCTGTTAATCACCGCTGGTTGAAAAGGGAGAGAGTGAGAGTGATTGGCGACGGCAGAGTCCGGTGAGTCTCGAGAAGGAAGTGGAATGGAACTAAGGAGAAGCTAACGGCATGAAGGATAGACTCCGTTTAATTCATTTCGCACGTATTAAACCAACGCACGAATTAAAAGACGTGTGGCGCGTGCTCATGTTGCAAGAACGGTGCGCGTATATAGCGTGCCTGGACTGAAGCCGAACTCGTTTCAACCAAATGTAAATGTATTGAATCATAATCCGATTGTATTTGGTCAAATTCGGATCACTTATGTTCGGATTTTTTTATCAAATCAGATTGGACAATAGGAGCTGATCGAATTCGGATCGTTCCTTATTTGATTCGAAGATTCGACCCCATATATATATATATTATATATTATAAATATAAATATATAATATATATATGTTATTTATTTGTTTATAAATATATTTTTATAAATTTTTTATATTATAAATTTTTTTTATAAAAAGGATGTATATATATATGATGATGAAAAAAATTAAAAAATACTTGTATTTTTTGTTTTTTATTTTATTTAAGTTAATATATTTTATTTTTCTTTTATTAATTTATTAATTTTTAAATAAAACAAATTGGATTGGATTAGGTTCAAAAATCTAACTTATCGATAGGATTCGAATTCAAATTGAATCCTATTAGATCTGATTGAATCGGATCTGACATGATCAGAGTCAATTGGATGCATCCCTAGTTCAAACACTCTATCAACTTGATCTAACACCGAACATTTTATTATGAAACTGGGACTCACCATATAAGTGAGACCCGCCATGTATGAAATGCGAGATATGAAATTATGTTGGTAGAGGATTAGAACGTGTGTTATTGGCAGATGATCCGGACTCTTTTTAACGCAGTGCTCGGGCCATTGACAAGTAAGTGCTTAACCACACTAGAAACCAAACATGCCCTTTCACTTGCTGTTTGACCAAATGCACTTATAATACCTTTCCCAGATGAAGCCTTGACATATTCGCATCTCGAAGTTGGAGTTTTGCCTGTTTTTAGAGACTTGTAACGTAAC